CGTGTAGAGCAAAAGAATTCGCTGGACGTGAGGGAAATGATATCCTCCTCCTGTTCCTCCCCATCTCCCACCGCCTTCGTCTTATTTGTCAGGGTCATAGGGGTGGTGGGAGGTGGCTGTGGAGTTGCGGCTAGAGTAAGAAAAACTGTGTAACGACGATCGCCATCGAAACAAGGAACAATAAAAAAAACAAGGAAAGAAAAGAAAAGAAACAAGACAACACACACACACACACACACACACACACACACACAAAAAAAAACAACAAAATGACTGTCGCTGACATCAGGTCGCCGTCGGAGTCGTCACGTGACGAGCGTGTACACGTTAGCACGTGCGTGAATTCAGCCGCGCTCCATTCAGAGAATTGAAGCGCACGCTGTCAGCTTGTAAGTGCACGCAAGGCCGCGGTCCTTCGCGTAGATGATTTCTCTAACGGGATCTCCTTTGCAAAGGTAAGTAGGTGTTTTGGGATTTTTCCTTACTCTTTGTCATTCTCTATTTCCCTCTCTCTTCCTCTCTTTGCCCTCTCTCTCTCTCATTCTCTCTCTTTCATTAAATGGGGTTAATATTTTAGGTTTTTGTTCATATTTTCGTCATCGATTCTATGTTTTTTTTTTTTTTCATTTTGCTTTTATTACAGTGCATCCCGGATATGCCGATGGTGCTACAGTTATCGGCCCAACAAAAAAAATAAAAAATAAAAAAAATAAAATCAGTGAGCCGGGTTTGAATTCCGATACACTTCCTTATGCTCGCTTTCACAGTTTGGGAAAGGTATCCATCTCTTTTTCCCCCTCCATCTATGGGTTAAATAACAGAACTGACCTGGCTCTCTTGCCAGTCGTGGGAGAAGGGAAACTCATTTTTAAAACTAGTTCGAAGAAAGACGGACTCTATTTTTTCCCCTAGACATACCACTGCTGCTATGCAGCTCCCCTTCGACCCTAATAGTTTACGAGATTCGTGACGTAATGATTGAACCTAGAACGTTTTGTTGCGGACTTTTAATTTTTTTTAATTCTTCTTTTCTAAAGATTTTCTTTATTTTTTGATGTTATAAAATTAGTCATTGCTTTATTTAATATCTGAATCTCTAAATTATTATTTATCTTGGAAATGGTGTTTTTTTTTTTCTTTTTTTTACAATTTTGGAAGGGTTCTGTTGTTAGAACACAAGTTTGAGAATGAAAACTGCCGGTTTGTTGTAAGCTTCTCGAATAGAGATTTCTCATGTGTTATGTCGAGGAGTTCATAAAGTATATACGAACAAACACAGAAACCATTAGTGTGGTCTCAATTACAAAACCAAACCATTAATCTATTTTCTAGAGAGACTTTCTGACTGAAATTCTGGGACAAGTAATTCGTAGGTCGAGTCATAAATAATTTGTTTTTGTTTATCAATTTAATTTCAAAAATAAATAAATAAAAGAAGTACAATTGCATTTTATTCAATTACATATTCATCATTATTTGCAATAACTTGAGTAAAAATCTGTTTTCAACGAACTTTTGTGTTTGGTTCTCATTAAGGAATGTTTTCCACCTCAAATCGTTTTGCAGCGATCAAAACAATTGGGTTGGGTAGAACAGACCAACCGAGTTCCAATTTCTTTTCTTGTGTTGTCTTTCTGTATGTGATCTTGCATTGTCACGGATAATAACACTTTTAAACACCGTGTACGCTGCCACTACAGTGTAAAACTTAAAGTATGCTAGTATAGTAAAAATTTATTCTTAACTGCCGCATATGATTATTAGTTAGGGTGATACATTTGTTATTATAAGTGACTCTCAAAAAAAAAAAAAAAAGAAAAAAGAAAAAAGAAATTATTTATGATTCAACATATGTACAGTATTTACATTCGAATGAATGTCTACATCTTTGTTTCACAATATTTCTTCCGCTTTAGCTTCTGGTCACTTTTAGGTGCTTGTCGATCTGGGTAACGTTTGGAGAATTTTAAACTGAACCTTTTATTTAATGTACGGTGGTAGAGTGTTCGCATTCCGCTGTCTAGGGATATCTCAACGTTTTCTTATTTAGTACTGTCCTGACAATAGACACGTTCGTCGGGTCGTGAATTTTGGGGAGATAATAATTGTGAGTTCAATCTCTGGGCCAGGTAGTATACTGAACAGAAAACCCTAGACATGGACAGCGGAACCAGAATAATTCACAATTTGTCGATTAAATAAAGTTCCAAATTGCTTGAAAGTTACTCGGATCAGTAGATACCTGAAGAAGACCGGAGGACACAACGGTCAAAACATTGCATTGTATTAAGTCGGAATAGAAATTAAACGCAAGTCACACCGGACATTAAGTAAACTAATGCATAAATAACAGCAAAGAAAAGGATGTTAGTCCTAATGATCCTTTGATCAATAGGCTCCTACTCTAATGATGAAAAGGCATTAATCTTTCGAACCAAATGCATAATTGTGTCAGTAAGTCTGTAGCCTTATATTGAAAAAAAAACACACACATTCATTTTATACAAGAAATACGTAGCATCATTAACAAGCCGATATCCTAAAAAGGCATTTATTTTACAAATTAAAAATGCATAGTTGTGTTAATACATATGTAACCAGATATTGCAAAAACATACATTTTATATGATAAATATGAATTTTCATTAATAAGTCCTTAGTGTAACAATGACAAATAGGTTATTATATCAATAAATACCTATCCTGATATTGATATATGCATTCATTTTATACAATAGATAAGTAGTTTCATTAATCCGATAGCCTAACGATGAAAAGATATTTATTTTAAAAATAATAGTTGTGTCAATAAATCTGTAGCTTGATATTTAAAAATGCATTGATTTTATTCAGGAAAAATGCAGTTTCATTAATAAGCAGGTAACGTAACAAGGAAAAGGCATTTATTTTATAAATCACGAAAGAAATATGTAGTTGTGTAAATAGATCAGTATCCATGATATTGCAAAATACATTCATTTCATGCACGAAATAGATGAAATCCTACACCTATATCTTAAATAAAATCATTGATTGATTATTGGGAACTTCCTTATTCCTTTTGTGCGAAACCATTGATTGTTTATCGGAAACTTCCTTATACCTTTTGTGTGAAACCTTTGATTGATTATCGGGAACTACCTTATTCCTTTTGTGTAAACCTATTGATTGATTATCGAGAACTTCCTTATTCCTTTTGTGTGAAACCATTGATTGATTATTGGGAACTACCTTATTCCTTTTGTGTGAACCTATTGATTGATTATCGAGAACTTCCTTATTCCTTTTGTGTGAAACCATTGATTGATTATTGGGAACTACCTTATTCCTTTTGTGTGAAATCATTGATTGATTATCAGTAACTTTCTTATGCCTTTTGTGTGATGACATTGATTGATTATCGGGAAATTTCTTATTCCTTTTGTGTAAAACCATTTAAAACAAATTCTCCTTCTCGGTAACTCAAAATTTTGATTACTTTTATATTTTTTTCGAAAAATAGCAGTTGCCTGGCAAGGGACCCCAAGATTTGAGTTCCATGGATAGGTGATGTTATGTGGGGTGTTTTGCTTTTTGAGTTCTAAATTCGCAATAAAATTCTAAATGTATATTTACACTTTCAACAGCTGTAAAGTGTCCTTAAAAGTTTAATGAAAAAACGCCCAGCTCTTCTTGCTCTTGATATTTTATTTTCTTGACCTCCCTACTTAGGATGTGATAGCAGACCTTTTTTTTATGTGGTCTGCCTGTAAGTGGGCCAGTGTCAGAAATTTCCCAGTCCACGCGGCCACTGTCACACTGGTGTCAATATTACACCGACCTCGTCTCAGTGCAATGAGAAAGATGCTGCTGAAGGGTCAAAATCCTCGGAAGCCGGCGCTTTTTCTCTAGTAACAAATGGAGAACAGATGCTACGCATTGATCCCGTCTCGAAGGCCGGGGATATATTTACCTGATCTCCCCACTAAGGTAGTTTGTGACACAAGGTCTTTATTTTTATGTGGGTTGACCATACGTGGGCCAAGGACATAAATTACCCAGTCCACTCGGGAATTGTCACACTGGTGTCAATATTACACCAACCACGCCTCTCTTCGTGCAGTGAAGAAGGTGCTGCTGCAGAGTTGAAATTTCCGGAACTATGCGTCTTCTCCCTTGTAAAACGAGGAGAATAGATAGTACACATTGATTTTTCTTGTACTTGATGTTGTTAACGTTTCAGCTGATCCGTTCAACATCTGACGATTCCTGAAGAATGGAATAGAAACTTGTAATGTATTTTGACTCTTTTTTAACCGAATGAAAAGTCACTTGTTTTTTTAATTTTATAGTTCCCTAAGTACAAAGCTCCAGGACCACTCAGGATAGAGAGGTACTGTTAAAATTATTATGATGAATGAGACATGATATGAGTAAAAGAAGAGAGGAGGATAGTTACCCAATCCTCAATTTCCAATCATGATAGGGTCAAAAATCGTAATTTCTGGAGTATCTTTTTAAATTCTTAAAACATATAAATAGCTAGAGATCAGATAGAAAAAATATTTCTCTCTCAACAATTTAGGTGTCAGAGAGTTTAAACCAGGTCAGTTTCAGCAACCAGTAAGTCATTCCTATTACCACTTACTCAAAGCATGGTGAACGATTACACACTCTATGAGTCTCGTTGCATTGAACGTACGTTGGGACACACGTTCATCTCAGACATCAGAGGGAATTTAGATATACGATCCATATCTAAATATGCTGGGAAAATTGTCGGTTGCCTGTACCGCTCCAGAAAGTATCCGATTCTTTCTGCCAAGCTTTCTCATTACAAAAGTCAGAACAGAACAAAAAAAAAAAAAAAAATATGGAGTATTTCTTCCATATCCGGGTTGTAGCAGCCCAATGCCCACTTTTCGATCTTGATAGAGTTTAAAATCGTTTCCACGGTTTTGTAGAGGATGATTTATTTTCAACTCTACAGCTCTTTTTGCATAGAGACAATGTCGCAAGGCTTACGGCCACATTACGTTGGAACACCGGTTCCCGTACGATCACTGTAGTTAAGTAACGTCGAGCCTGGTCAGTGCTTAGATGGGTGACCGCTGGGGAATACCAGGTGCTGTAAGCTTGCGTGTGCGGGTGGTGTAATGGATAATGGTTCGGAATTGTTAATAGTGGGGCTGAGTTCCAATTCTGTTTGAGTTCCAATTCTGTTTGAGTTCCTTATATTCACATACGCGCAAATACACTTGGAAAAAGTATGGATTCACTTCTTCTCACCCACCCAGAAGTGGGTTAATTAGTAGGACTAGTATCACTAAAATCATTATTATCTAAAAAAACTTAGACTCTAAAAATACTTTCTGGCTTTAAATAACCTGCAAAGGGTTGATCAGCTGTAGAAAACGATTCAACCCATCTCCTTCCCTCACCTTTTACATTCATTAACAGTCTACTACCAATAACTTGATTCGTTTATTGGGTGGATCTTATAAAAAAAGATAACGATTGAGCGTTAACATATAGCAGTTAAAATTGTAGTGTTCGGGAAAGCATCCACATAGGAGTCGGTTTCATCAAATAGCAGTACTTGGGTGAAAAAATACTGTTTGAATGGCACTTCATCCTTACATTTTTTTATACAAAGAATGCAGATGATTCAACTCCGTGGAAGCGGCATGGCGTACCTTAGTTGTAAAGGTTTGAACTAGTGAAACTAAAGAATAACAGTAAGCGAGAGTTTCAAAGAGTTAATTCTGTTAGTTATCTATTGGGAATTATCTTACATGGCGTCAGCTTGCAGTGAAGACAATGACAGTATAGGAGTCAGGGAGAATATTTTATCTGTTTTTAACCGTGTGGTTCCGAGAAGGTAATGTTCGATGTTTTATTCTTCTGTCAATACATATTATTTGGTTTAGTTGCACCTTTTCTTGCAAAGTCGAAGTTATTTTGTTGTTTTAATTTCAGTTTTGTACACTTAGCATTAAGTATTGCTCTTGGTAATTGCTTTTCTCTATCATCGTGTCCAACTCGTGTATACACACGATCAATGGCACGCTGAAGCTAAATATATACATATATGCTGGTATATTGGTGTATATACATGAAGATGGAATGTATTGAAAATCTCTCTTTTCCATTCTATCTATCTATCTATCTATCTATCTATCTATCTATCTATCTATCTGTACAGGTTTCAGTGAAGATGACTTATAAGGCGCTGTGATTATGTTTTTTATTATATTTTACATGCGTTCGTACAAGTGATTTCTTTTCTGGACATAAAGTGTGTAAAATCTGTCTAAATGACCGAGTTCTTTCGATTATTCTATTAGCCATTATCAAAGATTTTCTTTTGTTTAGCTGAAGATGTAAATTTTATATATATATATATATATATATATATATATATATATCAATGTAAATATTTTAATTTCCGAACACGGTCAGCACGTTGTGGGGATGATCATAATTGATATTATCAAGAGTTGGTGTTTTCTTTTTTTCTTTATTGCAAACGTTTCCACTACAAAAATAATGGATGCGTTAACATTAGAAAGTATATCAGTTACAAACACGGCCAGAACACGGCCACAACGTACTGTGTTGGAAAATTAAAATATTCATGTCTCACTCTCTCTCCCACCCCCTCTCTCTCTCACTCTCTCTCTCTCTCTCTCTCTCTCTCTCTATATATATATATATATATATATATATATATATATATATATATATATATATACACAAATTTATATTTGATAAAATTGCAAAAACAGCATGAAACTTCGAGTCGTGCTATCGACATTGATATCACGTATATTCACTAACACACACACACACACACACACACACACACACACACATATATATATGATAAAATATAGTTTTAAAATATGCTCTATTTATGGGGTAAAGTGTTCAATATCAGGGATAGAGCCCATGTAAGCATCAAAGTGAACATTGACGTCAGCCTCAAGCTGCGACAACCTGTTTCATGCTTAAACGCAATCGTCAGACCATCTATCATATATATATATATATATATATATATATATGTGTGTGTGTGTGTGTGTGTGTATATATATATATATATATATATATGTGTATATATATATATATATATATATATATATGTCCGTGTGTGTGTGTGTGTGTATGTGCATGTGCATGTATTTGGGCAACAATCCCTCTTTTATAGAAGTTTCATAGAAGACAAATTACAAGGCACTGTAGTGAAGCTTTTTATTATATTTTTCTTGCATTTGTAAAAGTGATTTCTTTTCTGGACATAGAGTATGTGAAAACTGTCGAAATGATTTGTGGTTCTGAGCGCCTTCAGCTAATCCATTAGCCATTATCAAAGTTTTTTTCTTTTGTTAAGCTGAGTATAATACATGCACATGCACACACGGACATATATATATATATATATATATATATATATATATATATATATATATATGCACACACATACACACACAAATATATATATATATATATGATAGATGGTCTGACGATTGTGTTTAAGCATGAAACAGGTTGTCGCAGCTTGAGGCTGACGTCAATGTTCACTTTGATGTTTACATGCGCTTTATCCCTGATATTGAACACTTTATCCCATAAATAGAGCATATTTTAAAACTATATTTTATCACACACACACACACACACACACACACATATATATATATATATGTGTACAGTCATATCACGTTGAAATACTATTTTACCGATAAAATATCACGTTGAAACACCTGCTCCCGTTCGACTGTTTGATCACCGAAGGTTAAGGAACGTTGCGCCTGGTCAGTACACAGATGAGTGACTACTGGGGAATATATGCTACTTATGCTAACAGAAGACCTCAATATGATGAGGTGCTTTTGAAGTAACTGGTCGCAATACCTACCCGCAGTTAGGTGAGTTCTGAGATATATATCAAAACAAGTTTTATTAAATTTAACCAACTAGGTTAGTTTATTATAATTTTTTTATCGCATTTTTCCAATTTTCGAATAGGATGCTGTATATCTGGATTGAAATTGTGGATAAACTGCTTGAAGTTAATGAATATCCTGAATATTTAGAATCAGTCTTTCGTATCGTACCAAAAAAAAAAAAAAAATTCTCGTCAGAATCCAGCTTGTGCTTTTATACATCTACCAGTCGTCTGTGCATTATATATTGCTGCCATATTGCTGGTCTAGTTCTTCTGCTATGCATCTCGGAATTCTTGACAAGAAGGGTCTGTAATATAACGGACCCTTACCTGGTATCTCGGCTTCAGTAATTTCCCCATCGCTGTGAGGTGGATTCCCTCTGTCTTTTCAAGAAATATTTTCATGTCAGTTTATCTGATGAGCTTTCTTCCTTGGTATCTCGACTGCATGAATTTAAGCGTACTACTATTGCCAACCAGGGCTCACCATTTTACTGTTTAACTTGTTAGATGCAACCGTATGTTCTATTTTAATTCTTTTCTCGAACCTCTCGCCTGTTTCGATTTCTTGCTTCCGTGCCACCTACAATCTTCAAAGATTTAAATGCGACGCCAACCGCCGTCATCTGTCTTCCTAAAACCTGTTCTTTTATTCTCCTTGTAAAAGTCTTCCCATTTTCTTTGACTCCCAGTAACCCAGTGCATCATTGTGGCATTATCGCTTTTCTTGTGATAAAATTGTTTTATGGCAAGAAACACTGGGCAGTGAAATTTATACACTATATTGGTCATCGCTAATTTAGATTTGATGGGGTTATTTTGATTATGAATTAATTAAATTTTCATATTTCACAAAAGATGTTTAAAAGGAATGTTGCTGCCAAAATATACATTAATATATGTGTGTGTGTGTGTGTGTGTGTGTGTGCATGTATAACGAATGAAAGTGAATTAGAGATATTTATATATGTATCGTATTGTTTCTCCGATAAATTTTACGGGTTATCAACCGTGTGTGTTACTTAAAGCGAAAACATATTTTGAATTGTAAGAATAGCTTTTTGCGAGTGAATATTTCATTAACAATCATTTCAGGATGACAATGATTTTTCCAGATACAAATCGTACTATTTAACCCATAGTTGTGGGAGGAGAATTGACTCTGAGGAAACTAAAATAAAAAAAACAAACACCTTATCTACAGGATAATTGAAAAGTAACTCCCTATTTTATGTAGGATGGACTCCCGTCTAATTATAAATTTTGCAAGACGGGAGAGTCCATCACCCATAAAATACGGAGTTACTTTTCAGTCACCGTGTATATTATTATTATTCATTTTTGATGACTAATGTCTACGAGTATCAAACGTTTAAATTCATCACAATTTCAATTGGGTACGTTATATTCACTTACGCGCCAATACCCTTGGGAAATGGTATTTCTTTTCTCCCTCCTCAGCTATGAGTTAATTAGTATGATTTGTAACACTAAATCATTATTATCTGACCTCTCAACAAAAAAAAAAAAAAAAAAAAAGAAAAAATTGTGTACAAAATATTTAGATTGCGGCATTAAATAGCCCATATAGGTGTTACTATGTCGCTAACCAAAAAGCAGCTAGCGAACCAAAGCAAAGTGGTCAAGACTATCACTTCTCTATCGCTGTTTTCATGTCAAATGTTCCGATGAGCTTTACTCTTTAGTTCCACCAGTTCAGACCTTTACAGCTCGGAATCGCCATTCAACGTCGACATTATCCATACAAGTCTAATCGCACTTTCTCTGTATTCTATTTGTAAGACGAAAGTTCCACTAAGACAGCTTTTTCACGAGAAGTGCTACTCTATGGTACAAACGCCTGCGTGGATGCTTCCCTAAACACAATAGTGTTAACCATCTCACGTTAAAATGTCACTCAATATCTGCCCATATTTACATAGTTTTTTTACTTCTTTCTCCCACCACTAGATTTACGCACACACCACATTGAAACACCGGTATCTGTACGATCACCGAAGTTAATCAACGACGTATCTGGTCAGTACCTATATGGGTGACCGCTTGGGAATACCATGTCTTGTAAGCGTGGATGTACGGGTGGTATAATGGATAATGGCTTGGAATCTTGAATCGGAGAGCAAATTCCAATTCCCATTGGGTTCGTTATATTCACTTACGCGC